ATGGCTACATTATGATGGCCACGTAGCATTGCTGCCTTTCACTTTCACACTTTTTCTGCTCGTGCTGCAAACAGGATAGCCGTCTTCTATCAACTGTCCCTCGGCAATCTTCAAATATCCAAAAAATGCCCGTACTTCCCACTTTGTCTTCTTTGAGGGATAATAAATGTCCTGAGTGCTGCCGTCTCCTCTGGCCATTATTTCAGCTTTAGCTTAAAGAAAGTTTTGGTCGTAAACAACAAAGTGCACATGTGCCGCCGGCAACTTCAGCAGATGATACGGTGGCTGGTAAGGGTCACCGCGCCTACACCGCAGCCACGGTAATCCACCGAGATATTTTTTTTTAAAACAAGACGGTTATTATTATTGCCAACTTTTTCACCGGGGTTTACCGCTACACCGGTTACCGTGACAAACCTAGCCCTGACACACTTTCAGATATTCTCATGGTGCAGCTGTGTCCTCCAGAGATCAAGGACTATGAACCAAATGAGGCTGTAATGTTTTGGCACAAAGACGGTGTCAGAAGCAGGAGGCCAGACTTCATGGATAGAGAAAACAAGGAGTCTGACTAGATTTCAATGAAAGAGTTCATAAAAACATCTCGAAAAATAAATAAATAGTAAAAATGACAAAAGAGTTGTTTTTCTTATTAATTGACGTTTTAATTATTAATTAATTAATTATTTTTGTCACTCTGTTTGGAATCAACAATATAGAGTAACATGCTTTAGGTAGATCTAAATCATTTAGAACTTTGGCCGGTAAAATATATCTTGGCCGGTAGATTTTCATCATCTACCAACCAACTTGGCCGGTGAGTAAAAAATTTAATTTCGGACCCTCGCTGCACGGATGTTACGTAAATGTTAAAAATATAGCTTACCGCAACTTTTGTAAAATTTCCGGTGCCACCGGGCAGCTGCAGCAGACGATCTCTGAAAAATGTCCACGACACGAACTCCATTGTTGTCTGGAAGTTTTTTTTTTCCAAGTTAAGAAAAGAGGCAGACGTGTTTCCTAAAAGCTGCATCAGTCCAAGCAAGACAACTTCTTTGTTTTTATTCCGTTTTAGTAGCCATTAGCACTGTGCATTGTTGTGTGCATCAGTGATATTCGGTCTACGAGGAAGTCATGCAATCACAAAGGTTCCGCCTTGCTCGAAATGCAAGCTGCGATTAAATGCGTGAATTTTTTTTTAACGTGTGTTTTTTTTCTAATTAATCATAATTAACACCTTAAAATCCTGGCCCTAGTAACAACATTTAATTTCTGCTGCTAACAATGTAATGGTGGCATGTCTATTATGTACGGGTTAGGGGGGTGTTCCATTTTGCCTTGGCCCCCAAAATACCTTGAAACGGCCCTGGGTGTGTGACTGAGTTTTGAAGGTGATCTGAATTGTATCAGATGTATAAATATAACACGTGTATAGCTTATTGTTTTATACAGGTAAAAACATGTAGTGGAGATAAATCTACCTACATTTTACTTTCAAACATTTTGTTTTCTTGTTTTTATATAACTATTTCCTGTCCTGTCTGTCTCTCATCTTCCTGCATCTCCTCTAAACTCTCCAGAAAAACTGCTGCCTGGATTCTTACTTTTTAACCTCATCAGTTACTTTTGAGCAGATCAAAGGGATCTCCTGACCGCAAAACGGAGAGCACATTTAGACAAGTGGTGCTTGCTGCAGAACCACAAAGGTGGAGGTGCACCAGAAGGTGGAGCTGCACCAGAGTCAGCCCCGCCCATTCCAGAATCAGCCCCGCCCATTCCATCAGAGTCAGTCCAATTCCTTCCAGTTGTCAGACTTGATAGCATTCTGGAACCAAAGAGGGTGTTATAGCTAAAAAATGCAAGATTGAGGACGGAGTTGAGAAGTTAATTGAACAGTTTGTGTAAAGGTTCCATATAATTAAAAATCTAACTTTTGGAACTTTTTATCATGTTATATTGTCATTTCCTCATAAGAAACACTCAAGCCATTTTTGGCCTCATTCATACATTTTCCTCCGATCTCAGCTTCAATTTGGTCTCCTCCCCCGAAGCGGGTCTGGTCTTGGTTCTCAAATCTGGATATTCTGTGAATTTTCTGACTAATTATTTCTGAAATGACTTCTACTGAGACACCGCCAATAAACCATACATTCCCATCTATAGAGACACATTGAGTAGCACAATTACATGTAACGCCAATTGCTGCTTATCAGATGTGGTGGTGAAGTGGTTATGGAGTCAGGTTGACATGCAGAACTGCACAGGTTCACCCCCCAGTAGTGGACATATTAGGTAGTCTAAAATCCCTTTTCTTCATTTCTAGCTACACTTGCCAGTACTATGTTTACAACAATTTACTGGTATACCGTTTAACATATAATGACTAATGTGTTTATTTATTTATTTATTCGTTTATTTAGCCAGTGTGAGTCCATTTGTGAGCAGAGTTTCAACTAAAATGCTGTTTAGGAACGACCAAATTCAAAGAACTTTTAGAGACATAAATATTTTGCTGAAAATAAACATTACAACTAAAATATAAACAAATTAAATGTTTCAGCTGGCTAAATAGATTGCTGCCGATCTCACCGAGAATCGAACCAGCATCAGCTGAGGGGAAAGCAAAACCTTCATTCAGACGATCTTGCCACTGGACCACCAGAACTGATTCGTTAAATTTACATGCTGTTGTATGTCCGTTTTGTTGGAGCGGCTGTGGGCAGATTTTCGTTAAGAGAAACCTTTTCATTTCGAGATATATGCAGGCTTTGTCATGTAGCAAGTTATATTTATTTTGTTTAATTGAAGCATAGAACATAGCATTAACGACTGTAAACTAGTAACAGCCGTAATTCATGTGGGTCAGGTTAGTTTGAGATAAAGTTGAAAAACAAAAACGGAAGTCAGTGGGCTAGGCTGAAGTTAAGAAGTTTGCGTGAATGGGCGGGGCTGACTCCGGTGCAGCTCCGCCTTTGTAGGTCTCTAGGTCTGCAGCGAGCACCCTCTCCATTTAGATGCTGCATCAGTGGGGTGAAATCACCACAGCACACGATGAGTGGAGCGCGTCAGGAACGATTAAAAGACAGAGTACCAGAGGATATAAACAGATATGAACGATCGTGTGTTAATAAGAATGTTTTGTTGCACCACCTTGAGAATGTATCGTGCGCCGGACGCAGAGGGCGCACCAACGATCAGCGCTCTGCTTCCTCTCCACTCAACAGAATCCCGCTATGCTGAGAGTCCATCAGTATTATAATATAGGTAGAAACTGGATCTTTCCCTGAAAGATATCTAGCCCCCATAATTTCATCCCTGGTTTTGGATGAAAAACCGGACATTTTGATCCATGTAGGAAATCCCCCCGGACAGACAGTGAACAGTGGACATGTCCGGGGGAAAGAGGACGTATGGTCAGCCTACAATAGCACCAACCACAGATATGTACCAAATAGCAAAAAAAGCAATTTTGATCTTTTTCTGCAGCGGTTTTAGCGCTTTTCGGTGCACCGCTGATGATACAGCGCCCTATAGTGGCGCAACGCTGCAACTGCAGTTAAAATAACATCCATGTAGCTGGGGGCAGAGTGAAATCAGGCTGAGGCGGCACAAAATTAGCTGAAGGCGGCCGCCACGCAAATTTGAACGCAGGAAAACCCCTGATAATTATGCTCCTAACACCCCTTCGGTTAAGCTGTGAGAACTCCAGACAGCCAGTTCTGAGGACTGTTGTCTAGCTAGCTAGCAATTTCAAGCTCATCTGGAAGCTTTGTGCTAAACATCATTAGCTTAGAGATGCTTATTTTATTTTTTTGTTCATCTACACCAAGATGTGTTAGATAATCTAAAGTGGTCATATCTAAATCCCTAGGTTATATTTTGTTAACTTAAATCATGGAGATACAGCTCTGGGTAACGGCTGGAGACGGGCTTCTAGCCTCCAGCTAGTGTGGATGTGCTCAGTTACCTGGATGTAAACAATAACATGCAATGGGTCTATATTTTATTGTGTTTGGTGAAAACTGAACCAAAGGATGGAATCCGTGTATATAAAAAAAGAGACTTATAAAATATGATATCAGTTTAGATACACCTTTTGCTAAAAGACATTTTTGTGCTAAGGATCTCAAACATTGCTTTTACTAAAAGAAGAGAAGTTGTGCTTTTAGGTCCACTTGAAGTCAACTAAATGTTGTATTAAACCCCATTTTGTTGCTGGAAGCCTAGTAAGAAGTCACTCTGTCTGTAACCCCCTCAACCCTGACCCTAACCCTACCACCATAACATTTAACTGCAAATTTTTTTACTGTGTGGGCGTCGGAACGAGCCCCCGCACAGTGAGAGCAAACACCCCAGCTCTAAAACCGATCGTCATCTCCGTACATCACACATCATGTGATCAGGAAGCAGAAAATCCATGTAAGGAGATCGTTTTGGGCCACTGCTGTAAAAAAAAGTAAGGCTCGAACCGGAAAAGCTTCTGCCGATCACAATTCAACAACGGATTATGAAAAAATGGATAATGTTTGAAACGCGCGGATTCTTCCTGATTTTAGAGGTGAGTCTACTCTTTGTTTTGTTAGTTTTGGTGTTGGCATCATCCTTGTGTGCAACATTCTGTGACTCTTAAAAAGACAGTGAAAATGCTGAAAAATGCTGGCAGCAAAGGGCTTTTCTGATCAGGAAACGGCTGGTAATGAATGAGTTAAAAGCAGTGTAAAAACACAGAAGTCTAAAATACTTGACACAACTGAACATGGGTCAGTCGGGAGCACAAACAACCAACCCCCAACCCCACAGCAGAGATCGGACGAAGTACATGTTTGAAAAGTGCAGAGGTTTTTGACCCTAATAGCTTTCACTTTACATTGGTAAAGACTTACTCGAACACAAAAATTCTGCTTGCTTGCAATCATTTAGGTTTGTACTGCCCCCTATTGCCAGGGAAAGTACACACCGTCACTTTAAATTTGTCCACAGAGCTCACAAACAGAAGGTATCTATCCTGTGTGGACACTCATGTGCTTGTTTAAAGTTGACTTATGGGTAAATCTTTTTCCACAGAGCTCACAGGCAAAAGGTTTCTGTCCTGTGTGGATTTTCATGTGAGTGTTTAAAGTCGACTTTTGGGTAAATCGATTTCCACAGAGCTTGCAAGCAAACTGTTTTTCTTCTGTGTGGACTCTCATGTGAATGTTTAAATGCGACTTTTGGGTAAATCTTTTTCCACAGAGCTCACAGACAAATTGTTTCTCTCCTGTGTGAACCGTCATGTGATTGTTTAAGCCTGACTTATGGGTAAATCTTTTTCCACAGGGCACACAGGCAAAAGGTTTCTGTCCTGTGTGGATTCTCATGTGATCGTTTAATGTTGACTTATGGGTAAATCGATTTCCACAGAGCTCGCAAGCAAACTGTTTTTCTTCTGTGTGGACTCTCATGTGAATGTTTAAATTCGACTTTTGGGTAAATCTTTTTCCACAAAGCTCACAGGCAAAAGGTTTCTGTCCTGTGTGGATTCTCATGTGATCGTTTAATGTTGACTTATGGGTAAATCGATTTCCACAGAGCTCGCAAGCAAACTGTTTTTCTTCTGTGTGGACTCTCATGTGAATGTTTAAACCTGACTTTTGGGTAAATCTTTTTCCACAGAGCTCACAGACAAATTGTTTCTCTCCTGTGTGGACTGTCATGTGACTGTTTAAACCTGACTTTTGGGTAAATCTTTTTACACAGAGCTTACAGACAAAAGGTTTCTGTCCTGTGTGGACTCTCATGTGAATGCTTAAAGTCGACTTTTGGGTAAATCTTTTTCTACAGAGCTCACAGACAAAAGGTTTCTGTCGTGTGTGGACTCTCATGTGATCGTTTAAACCTGACTTACGGGTAAATCTTTTTCCACAGAGCTCACAAACAAACTGTTTCTGTCCTGTGTGGATTCCCATGTGAGTGTTTAAAGTTGACTTATGTTTAAATCTTTTTCCACAGCGCTCACAGACAAAAGGTTTCTGTCCTGAGTGGACTCTCATGTGAATGTTTAAACTTGATTTTCTTCTAAATATTTTTCCACAGTCACCACAACTAAATGATTTTAGTTCTTTCTGGACTTTCCTATATGAGTCTACATGTTGCTTAAGTCTAACAGATTTCTTATTAACCAAAAAGCTGGAAGACCTTATTGCTGAATGACTGGATACTCTCACATGTTTCTGGAGAGACTGCTTGTCATGAAGTCGTTCACCGCACTCAAGACAGTTGAAGGATATGTTGACCGTCTTAACATCTGACTCAGAAGACGTTTTCTCATTCCAGTCATGGTCTTTGTCTCCAGTTTCAGACCCAGAGTCTGACATCCCAGAGTCTAGATTCATATCATCATCTCCACTAATTTCAGTCTCTGAAGAATCAGATGTTTGTTCATGAGGGTTCAGATCTGGGTTCCTGCTAGTTCCTGATACTCCACCAGTTTCTGCTGTCATCTGGTCAGATGAGATGCTGGTTGGAACATCTCTGTCTTCTATTTGCTGCTGATGAAGCTGTGAGACCAGACGTTTCTCTTCATCATCCTCACGCTTTATAGAAAAAGCACTGAATTGAAACCTGGCAGAATCAGTCTCCTCCTTCAAATGGAGATGCTCTCCCTTAAGACTGGTCCAGAGTTCCTCATTTTCCTCCTTTATGTGGAGGTGTTCTGGGTCCTGCTGGTCCACACCAGCACTCTGTTCTTCAGGATCTTCTTTAACCTGCACCATCTGTTGAACATCTGTAGGAAACAGAAACACAAAACGTGAATTACCGACTGCTGTAACTTTAAATTCACACATGAGAGTTGTGTTATTGCAGGGGTCTCCAACATGTTGGTCGTGAGCTACCGGTAGCTCTTGAAAGTCAATGGCCTGGAAGCAGCCAGTGAGCCGCCCAGCCTGACTTACACTTAACAAGGGACGGATTTTTAATTTGATGGCAAGCCTTTCCCGGTTCTCCTAATATCTAATGTAAAATCAGCATTTTGAGGAAGTAAAATAAAATCTGATTATTGCACAAATCTTTCAGCAAATGTGTTCTTCTGGAAATATGTGGAATGGATTAATTGTTCAGGTTGCAGCGCGGATCCCCGTTTCTGATATCAGCGGCTGCAGGTGCATCTAAAGACGAGGTGACATCGGTCATACAGGCCTGGTTTCAGAAAAACATCCTCAACAAAATATTGTGGGCGATTGTAAAGTCCTATCTGCGTAAATATGTTGTTAAAGCAAATTAAATGCCCTTCTCTTATTAACACGATTAACAGGCTTCCAAAGTCTGGACATCTCCTGTGATTTGGGGCAGCAGTAGCTCAGGTGGTAGAGCGGGTTGCCTCATGATCGGAGGGTCATGGGTTCGATTACAGCTCCCACCAGGGGTATCCTGCTGTTGTGTCCTTGGGCAAGACACTTCACCCAACTTGCCTGTGTTAGTGGTGATCAGAGGGGCCGACGGCACCAAATGGCAGCCTCACCTCTGTCAGACCTCCCCAGGGCGGCTGTAGCTACAAGTAGCTTATCGTCACTAGCAGTGTGTGAATGTGAGAGTGTGTGAAAGCGTCTTTGGGGGTCTTGAAAAGCGCTATATAATTTCAATGCATTATTATTATTATTATTAATATTTAGTTTCAAAAAATTTCCCTCAACAGTTTCAGCTGATTGTCCCGTTTAGGAATAAAACAAGATTTTTAAATCTCTCTCTCTGCTCTGTGTTGCTCATCCGTCAGACCCGCTGATCCAGAGGCAGAGAAAAAGGTTAAACCTCTGATAGATAAAAACTGATTTGCACCTCACCTTGTTAATAATTTGTCTGGTGTTGTTATTTCAAACAGAGTTCATCAACGCTTAATTACATTTAAATAAGGTGCAGTAAACCTGACCTCGCCTGAGTACATTTTACTATGATTAGAAGCCAGACCAATGTGTGATTCTCTTGGTTGACTGTCTGTGAAGAATTTGTGTGTGTGTGCTTATCTCTAACTTTGTGTGTGTGTTCCCAAATAAAGTCTCTCTGCAGCCTTGCTTGTGTGGTGAGAGGAAACTGGCTTTTGACTGGTGTGTATTATTCTCTCACCCTTTGCAAAGTATTTTGTTGTTGTTTGTTGTGAGTTGTTTACAATTTATCAAATTATCAATCTAATCCCTCTGTGTGTTTTGAACTTTCTTTGAGGTAACACGAAATCAATAAAAATTACCTAACATTTTGGTGCCGAAACCCGGGAGAGCAGAGCCTTCAGTGGGAGTTCACCTTCGGAGAGCCGCACGGCGCCAATCCCTCATCAAAGCCCGGGGAGCTAGATTGCTCCATCGGCCGGCTGTTTATCTCCACAGGCGGACTTCCACCTATAGCTCTTGCTCACTGGACTCAGGGCGAATCTGCCACGCAGAGGGAAAGTGAGTACCTAATTAATTGCACCATTTTTCTATCAGCTGGTTGACAGTGTGTTTTACGCTTGTGGTGTGTCTGCCATCCTCGCACGAAAGACGTTTCGTGCCCCGGCCGAGGGCTGCACGGAGAGCTGCACGGAGAGCTGCTGGACCATAGCCTAGGCTCTATTTGCCTCTGTTCTGAGCGAGGAAAACTGAAGAAAGGTTGGAATTAGTCTGTGTCGACGTAACACAGGCAACCCACGACGTATAGTGGGCCGTAATTTGGTTGGATCTGCAGACCATTTCTGTAATCACACTAACGCTCAGCTTCTAAACAGACTTCCTCCTTTCCTTCCCAAACATCCAACTCCTCCTTCCCTTCCCAAACACTTTCCTGCAAAACAGTTCTGTGCAGACATTGTTTAAATATTTTGTGGTGCAACAAAGGTACCCAAAAGTTAATCATAGTTATAATTGGCTAAATGAACCCAAACCATTCTAAATTCACCCCTTGTCAATCTGTGGTCTGTGTATTTGTGGTTTTGTGGGCTGTGTCCCATTTCGGATTGTGCAGGCTTGCCTGATTTTTGTGGTTCTGTGGTGTTGTTATCGTTCGTTGCTGGTATATGAAATATTGGTGTCGGCTGCCCCATTGCGGACATCGTATTTCTGTGTAGTATTGTGGTTTTAAATCTGTGCCAAAGTGTTAAAAACCCGGCTGTGAACTTTGTTTCAGCTGCCATTCTATTGTGAGCTTTGTGTGTGAAAAAACCTGCAGGTTCTGTTCTGTTTTGTTCCGTTCTGTTCTGTTCTGTGTACGTATGAGCATGTATGAACTGGGAGGTACTGAAGAAAGGAAATAAGCAAGTGTGAGATTGTTTGACTAAAGTTTGTGTGAGTGTGTGTGTGTGTGTGTGTGTGTGTGTGTGTGTGTAAGTGTGCATGTATCGGGGACTTTGAGGTGTTGAGGGTCTGCCCTCATGAGGAAATTACTGTGCAGTGATTTTTTCCAAAGACTGTGCTAAAAATTGCTCTGAAAAATCATATTCCATCATCAGCGCCAGAGACATTTCATTTCCCATGATGCTCTGGGAAACTTTGCTCTTTGTGTCCAGCCAGTTGGAGAAACACTCGTGCGGACAAACAACGGAGAAATCATCTGACCTGCAACGCGAAAGAACAAAGGGACGCCTTTGGGTTCGCTCACGCAAGCGTTTGATTTTATTTTATCTCCTCTCCTCCTCTCTTTATCTTTCCCGTTTCTTATAGTTCACAAGATAAGCAGTCGACCGCGTGATTTGCTTCAAATTATCAGACGGTTTTTCTCTTTTCCGTAACCAAACCAGCACGTCGGGTCATTGTGTTAAATCATAAACTACTTATTGATCATTGTTGATATCTCTAGTCATCAGCTGTGGCCAAGCTGTTTAACCTAAAGGATATGAATTTATGATTAATCTTTGGTGAAGCTTCACGATGGTTTGGAACTTTTGAAGTGTTAAAGTTAAGTTTTACTGTGATCTTAAGCCACTAAGTGCTAATCCCTTCGTCTGCATCTGAGAAAGAAAAGTCACAGCTCACACAGCTCAAGGACACTCCCGACACCCCCCCCCCCCCCCCCCACGCACCTGCTGGGAAAACAAAGATTCATTCATACACCCTCCATTTCACACACACACACACACACACACACACACACACACACACACACACACACACACACACACACACACACACACACACACACACACACACACACACACACACACACAAAATCATCTGACCTGCAACGCGAAAGAACAAAGGGACGCCTTTGGGTTCGCTCACGCAAGAGTTTGATTTTATTTTATCTCCTCTCCTCCTCTCTTTATCTTTCCCGTTTCTTATAGTTCACAAGATAAGCAGTCGACCGGGTGATTTGCATCAAATTATCAGACGGTTTTTCTCTTTTCCGTAACCAAACCACGCACGTCGGGTCATTGTGTTAAATCATAAACTACTTATTGATCATCGTTGATATCTCTAGTCATCAGCTGTGGCCAAGCTGTTTAACCTAAAGGATATCAATTTATGATTAATCTTTGGTGAAGCTTCACGATAGTTTGGAACTTTTGAAGTGTTAAAGTTAAGTTTTACTGTGATCTTAAGCCACTAACCCCCAAATTCCACTACCTCCGCTCCGCTCCGACACGAACGCCGGAGCAAAATCGGTCCCGTTGTAGTCAATCAGAGCTATTCCACTACTGCGGCCGTGCTCCGGCAGTTCCGGCGTCCGGCAAAATAGAATCGATCCTATTTTTGCCGGACGCCGGAGCACCTCCGCAGTAAATGGACAGAAATCACAACGGCCCAACAGGAAAAGGAGCAAGCACAACTTCCGTTTTTCACAATAAATCGATAAACAAAAGGCGTTTTTTGTTTCATATGCACAGGTTTAACAACTTTTAACAACTATCAATGGCGGCTGAACTTTAAATGCACAAAAGTAAGCCATAAATACAGTTTCCGCTATCAAAGTAGTCACACTTTGTTGATCCAAACACTGCTGATCTCTACACAAATGATGGGCAGATTAAACAGTTCATGCCGATGCTTCTCCCACACAACGGGCGTTTGTATCTGATTTCCGCGTTTATTGCTCGGACTGTATCGCAAGATTTTGAAAATCCCGCGCATGCTTGTTTGCCCACCTCAGGTCTCCGCACCGGAGCGGAGCCGTTGTAGAGCGCGTACCAGTAAAAATTGAGTTCGGAAGCGAGCGGCTGCGGAAGGCGGGGGCGGACCGCAGCGGAGCGGAGCGGAGGTAGTGGAATTTGGGGGTAAGTGCTAATCCCTTCGTCTGCATCTGAGAAAGAAAAGTCACAGCTCACACAGCTCAAGGACACTCCCCCCCGGCACACCTGCTGGGAAAATAAAGATTCATTCATACACCCTCCATTTCACACACACTCACACACACTCATATGTGTTTTTAGAGTTTGTGGGGACTCACCACTGAAACAAATCCATCACTTGGGGACATCCTCCATTACACACACACACATCTTCAATTATATCAAATTGTTTTGCATTATTAATCTCCTTGTTTAATTAAATGTTATAAAATTCAGATTTTGTCTCAAGAGACTTGCTTGTGTTGGTGTGAAAATCTCTGCTCCTCTGATTCCATGAATCTCAGATAGACTGATAAGAGTTTCTTCAATTTTTCCCCGGTTAAAAAGGGGATGGTGCCCCGTAGATACCTAATTGTATCTTAATTAATTAATACATCGGTAAATATTCCCATATCTACAGAATTGATTGAAGAATCCAAAAGTAAGTAAAAGCTTACTAATTATTCGTTACCTAATAACCCCAACATAAATGGTGCCCCCGGTGGTGAGGCTAGGATACACAGAGATCTTTATCTGACACAAACAAGCAAATCTTTTAGAACAAAGAGCTTGGATTTAAAATAATCAGTTGAACAGGCTGTTTGATTGGGTTCTGATTTCACTGAGCAGTGTTTTGGCTCCCTCTCCTGGCCACAGGTCAGGATAGGAGACATTTGTTTGAAATCAAAGGCTGCATCAAACATCTCACCAGTAATTCAGTTTCCTTAAAGGTGCAACTTGCAATTAATTCTGGCTAACCTTTTAGGTAAAAATTCAGTTCCTCATTAAAGGTGCAGTATGTAAGTAATTCTGTCTAACCCTTTTAGGCTAAAATTAACTGCTAATTTAGCGACTTCAACTCACAGTGGCTATTATAACTAACTGAAACCTTCATTCAAAGACTGATAACACAGTTTGCTAATATTCTGAAGGAATAACTAGCACATTTAACACTGCAAGTGTTGTAAGATGTTGCTACGGCAACGTAACTTTTGCTAAAATACTGAAAGGAATAGTATTTAAGGCGTCAGTCACGGCATTCCGTGCGAATTAAAACGCTAAAACCTGTGCGCACAAAGGTTAATTTAGTGTTGTCTGCTACAAAGCTAGCAGTTACTGCCCGAAAGGTGCAGCTTTGAGCTATCTGCAGAAGCTCTACTAGGCTATTTTTGGTTCGGTTGTTAAAATGGAGGGTCAGAGTAGTGAACTGATCAACTCCCAGCAACCAGGGGGCGCTGTGGTGCCCGACTATGAACCTGGCCTACTTTCTGGACGAATATTGTCCAAACTGGTCGCGGTTGCTCGAGAACCCGACTACCCTTCTAGGGATTTCACTGAAC